TTGGGCTTTCGTTTTATAAAGCATCTTATTATGCAAATATCCCAAGACAGTGTGCTACTTTAAAGGGTTTATACATAAGCTCTGCTTGAAGCAAAATGTAAAAGTCCTTCTGCTGCATTTTTTAAAACATTTAGTGAGAGTGGTTCTGTAAGTATCCCAGGGCTGATTACTTTTAATAATTAACATCATACAAATGAGACTAATTAACCTTGTGTTCAACTATATCTACCACTAATTACCTTGATGTTTTATTTCTAATAGCCTTGTGGCTGACCAATTATTCCATGTGTATAACGTTCCCAAATTTTAACTTTCAAAAAAAAATTATTATAATATACTGTTATACTATCTATAAATATACTATTATCCTCTCAGACAGAACTGTGCTTAGCTTTTTTTCCAGTTTAGTCTGTCAAATGACATTGAATTTTATCCAGTAAGTCCCATACCTGACCTGAAGGTCATGCAACTCTCAATTCAAAATCAAAGAAATACAAAACATACAGTTCTGTAATGTATAAGCAGATGCAAGTATGATCTTGTCTTATCACCCTTTCCTGTTGTGCATGTTCTTAGACCACGATTCATCCATACGTTTTGAAGGGAAAGAGCAAAGGACTCTTCTATTCATAGAGGTTCTTTATGGTATCCTTAGCACCTCAGCTATCCTGACATATATTCAGCTCCTGAAGGGAATGTAACTATCACTAATCAAAAACCTTTATTAATTTTGCACATAATTTTTTAAATATCTATAAATTTCTAGATCTACTGGTACTCAGCTCTGGAAAAGCAAGTTTTGCAAATTTAAGGAGGCTAGATGTCTGCCATTGTATAGGAAGATCTCTCCATGCTGTTTGTGGGGAAACTACTTATTTAGATTCCATGCTTTGCTTTAGTGTTGTCCTCTTTCAATTCCTTCCATCCCTCTCATTAAGCTTAATGAATGCATCCATCCAGGAATTGTAACAACATAATATACAGTAACTTCATATCATAAAGTGGGTTACTTTCCATTTTCATGAAATTATCATGTATTAGTGGTCTTAGATCATTAGGTAGCAGCTCCTGAATTGAGAGCTGTTTACACTGCCACCCTGCAACAACAAAAGTGTATCATAACTGTACATACCATCTTGTGAATTCTAAAGTTGGCAATTCTAAATCAAAGAGCCAGAAACAGTAAATTAACTAAAGCTTAACCTTCGTTTTAATATTTCATAGATTACTAGAATTATTAATGTTCTATTTTAAACAAAAAAACTAATTTAATTGAAAATATTTATGTTTAATAAGATCTGAGTTCAGGATTCTTTTTTGTAAGACTCAAGCTTTCTTTGAAAAAAAATTCTTTCCTTACTTTTCTAGTACAATTTCAAAGTAAAAATTTCTGCCTGTGTCAGCAAATAAAACATATCCGCTTTGACACAAAGTGTTGGCAATAAGATGAAAATAGAGCTGTTCTTTTCTATATTAGTGGATCTTGTTCTTTGGAGTCTATAATTTTGGATTTTTACCAACAATCTCATAACTGTACATGGAAGTGTATAGGCCACAGACACAACAGGAACCTACAGTGACTTTTTGGGATCCTATGGCACAAGACACCACCTGGCATCTAAATTTGAGACACCTTTCTCTTAGTGTTGTGTAATAACAATAGGAGACAACTCCATAATGTCCACCTAATGTTTGAAAACATAAAAGACTGGTCTAAAATGCACTAAGGCCGGTAAGCCTTTCTGTGAGTCCTCAGGCCTTTTACTAACCTGTGATGTCGGCCTCCAACTGATAGATTGCATTTGCATTACACATGCAGACATAAACTAACAAATTAGGCATGCAGTAAACTAAGGAATTAAATTTACTGCAGCTTTGTTGCAGGTGGGAGTGGAAGGTTTAGACAAAATTGATTTAAAAAGCCCTGCCATTGAGTCTCAAGGTGCAGAAAGGATTGCTTTCTAAACCCCTTCTCAAAGAGGAGTCTAGGTGCAGCTGAATCCAATCCTAGCCTTGGATTATGTCAACAGTTTAAATTTAAGGAATTACAGAGGTGTGACTGAACTGCTTTTGTCCTGCAGGTTTTAATGACTGGCAAAATGGGGATATTTATATAAGATGAATGGTTTATTATTACAAATGGTTAGACAAAAGATCTTAATCAGAACTAGTTATGACACAATATAAATGTTAAAAATCTACTAATAGAGTATAATATAGCATAGAATAGTATAGTGCACTGTAACAAAGCAATTCTTGAAGCAGTTATATTAAAGCTAGCAAAAAGAAATAATTATTAAGTACAGATCTGATGTAACTCACCCATGTCAACACTAGTGGGGAGATCCCTTTCTCTCAACTTCAAGGAGTAACCTTCGGGGACATACCCAGCCCAAGGGAGGAATCTCCACACATACACTGCAAGAAGGGTTATATCAGAAGAACCTGACTGCATGAAAGGAGACTGGACTTTTAGAGTATTAAGTGATTGACTGTTAGTCACACACATATAGGCCAGCTATCAGCTTATCTGTCAAATCAGACTTCAAAAAGCAGAGTGTGTATTCGAAGTCTGGTGAACCAGGATGGTCTTACAATAATTAACACCAAGACAACACCTTGGCTCCGACAGTTGATTTTGCATGATAGCTTGCATGATAGCTTGATTGGATTTGAGGTCTTATCAGGGTGGGTCCATAATGTCACAAGCTTGCCACTACCTGATTCCCCTGGATGTAGTGATTTCTTACACTGATAAACTGTAGATATAAAAATGCTCATGGGCAATAGCAGGGCACATGAGTGAAAAGGTACCTTCTGTTCTGACAATAAACTAGACTTCTCAGATATTCTGTAGATATATTTTTCAACTCGTACAGAGCCTTAATTCTGGCTGACATTTGCTTGTAAGGAAAAAAAACCTCTAAACAGCACTACAAACTCACAACCAATCTGAAGCTATGCCAGATATGCTGAAATATACACCTATCTGAGAATGCGCATCTCATGATCTTGATAGTGGATGACTGAGTAGCGATATCCTCTCTTCCACCATGTTTTAGATTGGATGGATCCTTATCCAAAGCTTTGGAACATCCAGAGCTTTGGAACATAAAAAATATGGCAGGAATAAACAGTCTTGTGCTAAACCAAAATACTGAAAGCACAAAAGAAACAAATATATTCGGTATTTACTTCAGACAGGCAGCATCAATAACCAAACCTGCATGCTTTAACTTCTTAAAATATGTTACCTCGAGTGCTTGAGATGACCCCATAGTCCACCCCTTTAAAATAAAACACAGTTTATGTCAAAGAAGTTTAAGAATCTCAAGCCAGTTCCCAACATTAAAAAATCCATTGCGCAAAGAAATTACAAAAACTGGCACTAGTGAGCAATGTCAGAACAGAGAAGGGCTTGAACTTCTCTAAGTCTGGTGTAAAAGACCATCAGCAGGGCATTGTCAGAAAACTTTGCCAGAAGTCTTTGAAAAGTACCATAATATGTCTGTTCTGTACCTGTATGGTCAAAACACCAAGCCTGACAGAGTAAAAGAAGCATTTGGACAACGCTCTCAGGCACTTGGTGTGATACCTGGGGTTGTTCTGTGCAGAGCCAAGAGCTGGACTTTGATGATTCTTGTGGGTTCCTTCCAACTCAGAATATTCCGTGATTCTATAAATAAAAAAACTGAAGCAATTAGAGTTTTTAATCAAACGCTATGCATATTTTTTATCCTTAATAATCTGAGCCACATTGAAGTCAAATCCATAATATCTGATTATGACTCCCAGCTGCTGCTGTGTGTGTTCTGCAACTAGCACTGAATGCAGCTGCTATTAGTAACTAATTTGTCTTACATTGGCCCAGCAAGTTGTTATGGCTGGCATGTCCATCACTCTATCACTTTCTGTGCAACCACACTGACATAGATATTTGAACATTTCATACTCCCCTTTGATTTTCTTGAGTGATTTTCAGTTTATCTAAAATTTCTGTGATATTTCCTTCAAATTCCTTTAAAAAAAGACATAAATGTTGAGAAACATTGAAATATCCTTCAGTATATAAGAAAAAATCTGCAGTGATACTAATTGGCAACATGTCTGCTTAGCATTTAAAATACTCCAATACTTTTTACTCCATTAACCTTGACATAAATTATAGTTAAGTAGTCTCTGTGTGACAGGAGTTTTAATTTAGCAGTACCTCTCAAGTTACATATGTCTTTGAGTCTAACAGAGAGCCTTTCTTCTTGCCAGTTCCTTTTACCTTGAGGGAGACCAAACAGACAGTAAAGCCAGGTCTTACTGTGTAAACAAGGAAGGGTGTTCATAGCATCATTTTTGCTAAAGCAATTACTGTGATACAAATAATTTGATTGTGTCTTTCAGCATCCATGTCCATTTCTAGATTTTAGACTGAACTGCTAGACAAAATCCTAAATGCAAAGAGCTTTGTACTTCACATTTCAATAACATCTGAAATGATGCCTGCTTTTTTGGTTACTAAAACAGAGCTGCAGACTTCAGAGTGTGGAGCAGAATATCAGCTGAACCTAAAATTGTTTTAGTCAAACTATTACTCACTTCTCTTCTCTCAAGACATCTGTTCGTTCCTATATTTTAAAGAAGTCTTTCCAAGTTCCTCTTGCTGAGCTATTCCATGGATTTTATATGCTGGTGTTATGTACCACAGGTTCATTTACCTCCTTCCCATACCTTCAGTACGGCTGGAAGCAGAAAGCTTTTGCAACTTTGATTTACATATTTAGATCAAAGTACCATAATAGCTCTTCACAATAATTAAAAAAAAAAAAGGGAGAGAGAGAGAGAGGTGGAATTGTATTCTGTACCTTTCTACTTTCTAGCTGGTAAAGCACAGCAGGACTAACCTGGAACTTGCTGGAGGCAGAAAACCTTTCAAGTCCTTTGAGACTAGACCTGGTGAAGGTAACTCATGTATAAACTAGTTTGCGTTACGCCTGAACCACACTGGGTTATAAGGAAATAACTTTTATTTGGCCTTGGAGAAACGTGTTTCATGAGTTGATTTTCATAGTTTGTGCCTGAAAAGGCAGTAACAGATCAGTTAAATTGTCACACAGCATTCCAGCAAAAGAAAATGCGTCAGACCCACTTATCTTTTTAAATATGCAACCTGTATGGGAAAGAACACATTGTACTTATGCAGCCTTACGAAATCATGCTTTCAAAAGAATATGGAAATGCACTAGTTTAATTAGATTGTTATTAAATTATAATGGTCTTGCCCTTTCAGCTGAGGGGTTTTCAATGTAGAATTGCTGTTACAAAGGGTATTGCAAACTCAGTAAGCCTACATTAGCATTCAGCCAAAGTATGCTTGGATGGTCAACCCTCCAGTGGCTTGCAGGGGCCACTCCATTTTCCCTCATGGCTACTTAGGGAGTATGAGAGGTTTCCCTCCCTTGATGATGTGGCTGTCTCCTGTTGGAAAGACTATACAACATTGCCATCTGCTGGCTATCCTTTTTCATTACAGCACAGAAAAAGCCCAGCCCCGCCCCCCCTCCACTCTCCCACCCCAAAACTACTCTAGAAACCAGCAATTTATATTTAAAGACCTTCTGAATACTCATATTTGTTGTAAAAAAGCAAAGAGAGGAAATTCTCAGAGTGGCTATTTTTTCAGAGGACCAGATTTCATATACTCATTTGTTATCATGCCACGAGGCTGAATATCTTAGAGAGTGTACACAGGAACATTTCATAAGGCACATGGAGTCTAAGATCTCCTGTTTACCAGGAGAAAAAAAAAAAAAAAAAAGGAATTTTCATTACTAACTGCTGCTGCTCATTGTTTTAATATCTTGATACCAAGTAAATCTGTCTAAATAAACCAAGAGTTCTTCCCCAAAGCTCTCTGATGCTGGAGGTCTGCTGATTGCTTTAGAAACAAGTGACAGACTTCTGTCTTGTACTCGTGGGTAGCAGTGCACAAAGTTTGTTGAAAAATTCAGCAAGAAAAATAATTATTTTAAATATGTCATTAAAGACAGACAAGCATAGTACAAGTACCTGGTTTTCACAAGTTTTTTCAGCTTTCCTGTGACTTTTTGGCAGCTCTGTTTTATTCTCAGTATAATTAATTAAATAATTTTATGTTCTGTCAATAGACATAACTGCTTCAGAGGACAGAAAGTTTGGAGAAATGTTTGACCTTTTAGATGCTTAGTCAAACATAAGACTTACATGAACAACTGCTGTTTGCCCACCATTAAGAGTGACACACTATGCCCTACTCATGCTGACTGTACTTTTAGCTGCATGGAATTACCTCCTCGCTTCACGCAGCTGGAACACTTATCAGTGTAACCACTGACAAGGACATGTTAAAGTGCCTTTATTGAGATCTTGTGCTATTTCTAACTGCACAACAGCCAGTGGAAAAGGAGTACTGTTTGTAAATGCTGAATGCACTAATCCTGCAGAAATTTGCAAGCATCTAGCTTTTATAGTTCAAGTGGTCCTCACAGAGGCCACTTGCAGTATGCAAATTTTAGTGCATAAAAAAAAATCTCTGCAAGTTCTGTACCTTGGATTGCATAGTGTGCAATAAAAGCCTGTCTCTCACTGTTTGCTTTGTACAACACCAATGACTATGAGAGCTCAACCAATAATGATGGAGCCTAGTGAATTACAAAAAAAAACCCCAAAAAACCCCAAAAAACATATTCTGTAAAGAAGTATTCATGTTAACATTTATCCTTTTATTAAAAAACAATTAGTTGATATCAAGAATCCATCATAGACTTTTCATTCAATCTGGACTTAAACTTGACCTTCCTGTCTGTGACTGGCACGTGTTCACAGCTATGGTCATTATATATGCCAGTGAATAATCTGCAGTAATGTTCAGTTATTTCAACATCTAGAAAGGAGATTTCAAAGGGAATCAGGACTGTCCTATTTCTCCCCCTTTGAAGTTACTCGGCATTTCAGCGTTCATTTCAAGGGTAGATGATGCCAATTTGGAACACTTAAAAATCCCCCCCAGAACATTTCTGTTTCTCCAGGTCAAGAAACAAACATGTTAAAAGTAATGATGCTGCTGTTAAATGTGTATTTGCTTACAAGTCCCCAAACCTGTAGCATGAATACAGAAATAACCCCTATGTCTGTAGATCATCATCTCACATAGTGAGGGTCAGACTACAAGCCTCCTACTGCAGGGACGGAGTCTGAACACTACGGTGAACATAGAAGCACCCAAACTAGGCACATATTGTGTTCTCAGAGGATAAAATAAAGACTACTGAGGATCAATTTCTCAATGCTAAAACATCCCTCATGGTAGTACCTGGACACCAGTACTTCTTAAGAAACCTTATTAAGACATGTTTAGAATTAATGACTTTTGCCTGTATTAGTTTAGAGTGGTTTCCACTATATGCACTGTCACAGCATAAACCACTCTTTCTTTCTTCCCAGTCTCAGTATGTTAATTTCTTCCCATTTATCAAGAACCTTACACCTCACAGATTCAAGCTGTTTTGAAAGAGAGCAGGTTTTTTACTATTTTCTTTGTCTCATAGCTGCTTCAGGTTTCCAGAAGTAAAAAAGTGCTTGCAAAATTTAAAGGACAGAGCTAGCAGTGCAAAGCTAATTGTCGTCTAAGGCTGTCATCTAGCGCTTTTAGCAGGTATACTCAAGTACAAACTTGCCTTAATCAAGACGATCAGTACAGACCAGGAGCACCCATGATATTGCCCCCAGTTCAGCTGGTATACACACTCACTGTACCCACACTTCATTTCCACCAGGAAAGGAACATTGGTACATGGGCTATGCCACTCACCTTTCACAGTCACCCCAACCAAGACCCTTTAGCACTTCTTGCAAAAATCGGCTCTAGAAACAACGGGAACACAGCCAAGCAGGAAATAACTGCATCCCAGCATAGAGAACAGAGAACATGCGAGGAGCAGAATAAACATGCTGTAGTCCCTTAGGAGAGTCCAGAAAATGCACTTTAGAATTTTACAGGCCAACTTCACTGTCAATTCACCCACTCACTACAATAAGTCAATAATGTGATGTTACAAGATCCTACACATCCAGCTCATGCTCCTGTTCAGCCAGGGTCTAATTCGAGTCAAAGACCTTTTCAGCTTTTCACAGCTTGTCAGCAAGCTTGTCTGCAGCCTGTTGGTGTTCATGCTGCTGCAGCCAGAGCTGTATTACAGGCCCTTTCCGGGTCCTCATCTAGGGAATGAGGGGAACTACATGCGCAGACTAATAGTGCCCTTCACTCCAGTGGTCTGTAATCATACAAATAAACTACTTTCTTCCCTGGTGAAAGTGCAGGTGAAAATCATCCTGTTTTATCTGTCTCCCACATCCTGGTTCACCTCTTGGTGTTAGTGTGTAAGGGAAGCTATGGAGAATGGAATACCCAGGAAAGACGACAAAGTGCAAGGTTACACCTCCAAGGCTCTGCGATTGCAGAGGGGAAGGATAGAGAGAGGGAATGCACTGGTGAAGGGAGTGAGAACACAGAAAGGAAGAACTGGCCTTTCTTTGCCTTGTGAGAACCCCTAATGGTGCTCCCTGGCTTGTCTGACTGCTGTCATGAGCGGGTCAAGAAAATCCTCTTGACTCAGGGGCTGCCCTGGACCTGGGAGGGGTTTTCAGAGCTTGCAGTAGTTCATTAGCCACATTTGCAATGTAACAGCTTTGTGCCATGCTGTCAAATTCAGGACTAGGTACTGTGTTGAGTAATGATGATGTTTCAGCAATTAAAGACTGCCTGTTGTGAATTCCCTGAATTTCCTACTCTCTAAGCAGCTTGTCATGGGCAGCCAGCCCTGCTCTTCCTCCCTTTAGTCTGTGAGGCAGTGTCAGCACACAGTCAAAAGGTCACTGAGAGCCAACAGTTTTGATGAAAAGTGAGCTAGGCTGGAGGAAGAGAGCATGAGCCAAATTTGAGTGATGCACTGCCTCATGTGGGGAAAGGGCCTGGCCATGCTTCCTGCCCCTCCCTGTCCCAGAAGCTAATGGCTACTGGCTTCTCAAAAATCCTGTATTGTCGTGTGAACTACTATAAACAATAGACAGCATATCCTCACTCAGTGGATTAGGATAAGCTGCTGGTCCTGGGAGGGCCTTACAGAAATGTTATCTGGAAAGAAGAAAATAATGCCTTCTGTTTTAGAAAATATTAAGAAAACTTTTTATTCAGTTTTTAAAAATATAATCAAATCTCCATTTTTCCTCTAGGAAAATTGTAACATTCTCATATCAGGTTAACTTGGATTGAACACTTTTTTAATTGCTTAGCATCCCACATCAGAAAAAAAACCCAATCACCAACCAACCAAAAAAAGAAAAACCAGAAACAAACAAACAAACCAAAAAAGCAAAAGATATTTGTAGAGCTTTGTTCCCTATAGTGGCAGCACATGTTAGCATATTTAGCCCAAATTTCTTGGCTTAGGCTTCTAAATACAGCTGTAACGCAAAAAAAAAGGAACTGTAACATTTACATTTTTCTGACTTGTAACATTTACATTTTTCTGACTTGGTTGGTTTTGATTCCTCAGTGAGTAATTGAGGAAGGTAGGGAAGGAAAGTTTGAAGCTGAGTTAGTACTTCTTATATTAGTATCTGGTAAGGAGGAGAAGGGGAGAAACCTTTACCCATTGTTTAAATATTTTTTAGCTCATTTTATGCAAAACCATGTCTTAGATATGCCTTGGCCTGGAGAGTTCTGTTTGTTTTGTTCACTAGTCCTGTGGGAGATCCAGAGCCAATGACTGATTTTATGTTTTTTTTTAGTGATAGACTGCAAAGCAATGAAATTCAAAATCTGTACCATGCTGTAGAAATGATCAGAGCAGGTGCATTCAAACATATGTTCATTGACAGGAAGACAGCTACACTAGAGAGGAATTTGGGCCTGTTTAATTGCTGGGGAAAAAAAAAAAAAAAGCCCACAACCACAGCTGGTTTGACTGTTTAAGCATTACTCCTGCAGAAGGTATGTTTGCAAAAGTGAGTTAGGTGCCAGTGGTAGGAGCTGCCCATGATGAAGCTAACAACTGGCCATAGCCTGGAGCAGGACACTAGAACACTCAGACATTTCAGAGAAAGATTTGGATCTTCCTCTTTTCTTAAAGAGGAAGTGTAGAAGGCATTTTACATCACCACTTGAACAGCTATTTCCTTATTTACCACAATATAATTTGCTAATCGATATGTTCTCATGGTCTGGAAGAAAACTCTGCTTTCAGAACAGGTTTCCAATGAAGTCATAAAATGCAGGTGTACTACAGTCAGACCAGTTATACTTTATACTGATGACACTACACAGGATTTCTTAGTTCATCAATTTCTTTTTACTCTTCCACAATTTTCAGATTTATCTATTTTATCTTACTCAAGAATCCTGATTCAGATTCCACTGATCAAAGGCCTTATCAAAAGACACTACTTTCTTGAGCAGTACATAAATAGACTGTAAAACTCAGTGCTGTTACTGAACAAAAGCACTGAGCAAGCATTCAATAGGGACTTGACTATTGTATGGATAACTAGAGCACTCGGGACTGATACAGTGAAGACTGAAAAGAAGCTTAGGAAGGGCATGTGAAAGTACGTGATTCAGGGCTTAACCTCCTCATCATAAGGATGAAATCCAGTTATTATATTTCTGCCAGATGAAAGGTTTCATGTACCATCCCCTGAGACATCTCTAACATTTTAGAGTCTCCCACTGACACCTACTGGTTTCAGATAGGATCTGGAGTGAAAGAAGTATAGGAAAGATGTTATGTGCCTTATTTCATTAGATGTCAGCATATTTTGATCACACTAACAGAAAAAATCCCAACAGCTAAGGCAATTTTTGATTGGTTTTTCTTGCAATACTTTAGAACACTTTATTGCCATAATTTATGCCATATTTCCTTTTGACTCAACTCAAAACTGTCCTATCACTCACCTGTTTTATCTTCTGGAGTCTGGTTCATCTGTAGCACTGTTTCTAATTAATTCTTCAACTTAGACTAGAACAAAACAGAACAGTTTCGCAAGTATCTTTTCAAGATCATATACAAAGGTAGATGTAAGTAAATAGTTGTTATGTATAATGAAGATTATTACACATTCTCAGAGGTCAAATGTTGCTCTAACAGGGCAGAGAGAAAATTGAAGCTCACTGAATTACAGCAAAGTGACTCCAGATTTGAATGCCCAATGATGAAAAGGAGAGAATTGACTCTCTGTGAGAACCTAACAGGATTCAAACAATTACTCTCTACTGCATTAAAACCACAGCTTCCTCTCCCAAGTGGAAACCTCTTGTTCAATGAATGAAACTATTGAAGAAATTACACATTATTACTTACATATTTAGGAAGCCACATAGGTATAACAATAATGTAATCGGACAGCTTAGTTCTCTGCATATTTTTATATATCACATAAAAACATACTTGCATACATAGAATCAGCCAGGTTGGAAGGGACCTCTGAGATCATCAAGTCCAACCCTTGGTCCAACACCGCCGTGGTTACTAGACCATGGCACTAAGCCAGTCTCATCTTAAAAACCTCCAGGGACGGAGTATCCACCACCTGTCTGGGCAGCCCATTCTAATGCCTGATTACCCTTTCTGTAAATAATTTTTTCCTAATATCTAACCTAAACCTCCCCTGACAGGGCTTAAGACCATGCCCTCTTGTCTTACTGATAGTTAACTGGGAGAAGAGACCAACCCTCACCTGGCTACAACCTCCTTTCAGGGAGTTGTAGAGAGTGATGAGGTCTCCTCTGAGCCTCCTCTTCTCCAGGCTGAACAACCCCAGCTCCCTCAGCCTCTCCTCATAGGACTTGTGCTTGAGTCCCTTCACCAGCCTTGTTGCTCTTCTCTGGACCTGCTCCAGCACCTCAATATCCTTCCTGAATTGAGGGGCCCAGAACTGGACACAGCACTCAAGGTGTGGCCTCACCAGAGCTGAGTACAGGGGAAGAATCACTTCCCTGGATCTGTTGGCCACATTGTTCCTGATACAGGCCAGGCTACCACTGGCCTTCTTGGCCACCTGGGCACACTGCTGGCTCATGTTCAGCTTATTGTCAATCAGTACCCTCAGGTCTCTTTCTGCCTGGCTGCTCTCCAGTCACTCTGTCCCCAGCCTGTAGCGCTGCACGGGGTTGTTGTGGCCAAAGTGCTCTTACTTCCTCTACCATCATCAGTATTCAAAAATCCTTCAAGACATTCTAACATCTACTAACTAATATTATTTTAAAAAAGACATAAGTCTCGTATGAAAATCTTTTCCTCTGCCCACTATAGCGGATTAGGGAGAATGGGGGAGACCTCCAGGCCTTATGCTGCTAGCCCCATTACCTGCGAGGTGAATGCCCTTCCCCCCACCCCTGCACGTCGTCCAGTGACCCCGCAAGGAGCACACACAGACCACCAGAGAGGGACGGACAAAAGAGGAAGTTTATTGTGGGGTTGGGGTTATAAGGCTTTTAGGAAGGTCAAAGGGGACCAATCACAAATTCAGGGTCACACAGAAAAAACCGTCAGGTAAAGGGTCAACAGCCAATAGGAAGGGGTTAACCAAGGACCAATGAGAAACACCTCAGGACACCTTCCCAGGACACCTTGTGTGAGACAATAGCTTCACAGGGGGTGTTGGGTAGAAGGAGACAGTGACACTGCAGAAAATACAAAAAGCCATTTTGAAACATGTTTAAACCAATTTCTCATCAGATTCACTGCTACAGCCCACCCTCCAAGGATGGTTTTGCTATACATAGATAGGACTAACACATGACCCATGGTAAGAGGAAAGATTCAGTCTTAGACTCCAGGTAGCAACTAATTACTTAAATTTTAATTATTAGTTTTCATGCAAAGCTAGCAAGTTGACATTAGCACATGTTCCTAGACTATGCTGGAAACAGACTGCTATTCAGAACTGAACAGTCTTATGGGACATTGGATTTTTATACCTATAGCTGACAAATCTCTCAAGAACTCCTTTAGGTAATTCTGGGATGTTTATCATTATTTCCTTTCAGAACTTTGGCAGAAGACAAAATATCATAATTTTCCCTTTTATCTCTAAGATATTTATAAAAGCTTGCACCAAAACCAACCTCTGAATAGCCTAGATAAAATTTGCATGTGCATGCCCTATAAATATCCCACACAATATCCTGATCCATCTTAAATTCATGCCAGTTTGACTATTCCACATTAACACATCACGAATTCTCTCTCTGTAGAAAAATATAGACATGTAGATCACTGGTTTACTGTTAATCATCTTCCTGCTTACGCTAACAAAAACTAGTGAACATAAAGCTCTTTCACATTCCAGTATCTTAACTGCAGAATCATCCAAACTACATGTTGAAAGTAAGGGTAAATATTGTAAAGTGAACACACAAAATACACTGGAAACAACAATTGCAAAGATATAAAAGACCTCTTGACTCATCTAGATTCATATTTATAAGAAAAAGAGAAGGGGAAGAAGAGAACCAGCAGCTTAGTGAAATAGTGACTTGGTAATTCTTCAGGTTCAGACAGTGAAGTGGGCAAGAGCAAGAAAGCTGGTAGGCAAGATCTCTTGTTAGGACATCTTTCAAGCATGAAGGTTAGAGTTCTAGAATTAAATAATCATAGGGTCAAATATTGAGGCTAGAAAGTCAGATCAGAGCTTGGAGCAGTAGTAAGGAGATTTGAAAGTTGTGATATAAAATATCAGGGGCACGCACCAGAGGCATGGAAACACTGGGTCAGTCCAAAGAAGACAAGGAGCCTTAGGAGGCTTATTAGGCTTTGTTACCTCCACAAGAAGGAATAAAATCAACACCCCAACAAAGGTGACACAGTCTGAAATTTAATAGTTCAGGTTGCAGCCTGTGTGGTCAGGAGAATTCTCTATGATGGTCAGCTGGGAATGGCAAAACAAAGTCTTGGTCCTACTCAGAGTTTAGCCCCATCTCCCAGTGTGATTGGTACAAAATAAAGGGTTTTGCCTAAAACAGGTCATCCACAAGGTCTAATCGTTTGGCCTTCCCTTCAAGACCTGACATTTAAAAAAATCAAGAAATTCTATTTACTTTTTTCTGCTCTACCTCATCTACTTTGTTGTTGCTGCAGTGGTTGATAGCATTTGTAACACTTAGTCTTTGCTTCTTCCCAGAGAAGTACTGGCTTTCTGCATGAGAACCTGCACATCTTTCCTGAGTGCTTGTATTTCTGGAGCCCTTGAAGTCTTTGTTTCCATCCCTTTGACCCAAATCTTCAGATCCCATGAGTGCATGAAAAAGAGTAAAATATAAAGTTTTGTGGGCTTTTTTTTGCCGCAGGTTCTGGCACCATTTTTAAAATTACTTTTTGGTAAAATTCAGTTCTGATAAAAACTTCTGAACAAGCTGTTGATAAGACTAAGAGTTAACATAAACAAAAAAAACCCTTATAGCAGGTTCCAGAGTCACTTAAAGCTCTTTCCATTTGCAAATAGATTAAAGGTTTGTTACAGATAAAACAAAAAAGTATGGATGATTCTCTGAATGTGTTAACCAGTAAATATGAAGACTTAGACTCATGAAAACTCCTTGCTTTTGGACAATTCTTTCAGGTGTTCTGCCACTGAGCAGTGTGCTACTCAACCTAGACAAAACATTTGTACTGTCAACTGTGCCCTGTTCATCATTACCTTTCCTTTTCATTTCAACACATTGTCAATACCACACAGACACTCCCAGGCTTCGTGTCAAAGAGAGCGGATAACTAGGGTGAAATCCTCAGAGCCAGTCCAAAGGATTGTCTCTGGAGAACATGGGCCTGAAAAGCTATCAGAAGCAAAGGGGGCTAGTTTTGGAGTGGGGAAAGCAAAAAAAAGAAAGAAAGAATACAAAAGGATGAGATAGAGAAATGGGCAGGGACTGACAGGTCCAGGCTGGACTGAAATGGGTTGAGGATGGGAAGAGGCTCCAGGGGCCTGGGCAGGGCCAGTCAGATACGGTTCCTCTTCTACTTCCATAGTGGAAGACACCTTTACTGGTACCTTTTACCAAAATTAAAGGTGTCACTGGTGAGAGGGGCAGGGTAAAAGGGTGTGTAGCGCTATTCCTGGAAGCCTGAGGCAAATATCACCCTCTATTCAGCAGCATTTCTACAGTAGAGCTGGCACAAAGCCTGATGTGGCTCTACCAAAGAGGAGACAGAAGGACAATGCGTTTGGCATTTCTGAAATCCAGCTAAGTCTATTCAGCCAATGCTCTGCTTATTCTATAAGGAGCTGCTGTCTCAGATTTCTCTACTGTGGGTTGCTCCTACAGAAATTGTGGTCAGCAATGAAGCAAAGGGAGAGCACTAGATCTCCCGCGCCAAAGATAAGGTCAGGGAGTGTCCATATATGACTTTGAGTACTAAATTTCTCTGTAACATCACCAAGGAAATGAGCTAATACTGACAAACATTTAACGGTCCTGAGATTACAGCCTCCTGTTTCACTTTGGTTCCAGGAAAACCATACCTTTTTTGTTGTGACAGAAGGTTTGCTTATTTCACCACATGTGGGTTTGTTCAAAACCCAGAGGTGATCAACTGGATTTTGACTATAGCAATCTCATTCTCAGCACAGTTCACTTACCCAACTAGTTCCTCCTCCTCAAGGATTTCTTGCCTGTCTCCTCTTCCCTTCTCTTGTCAATAAATGTTGGATATTAATGTACAATTATTTTGCCAACAAATATGGAGGACTTACTTTTTCGCCCCCTCGGTTATCACTGGGGCAACCAATGTAGAACTTCTATTATCACTGCCATCATATCATAACGTACAGAATCAGAGTGCAACTTTTGCCTAAATAATTTAGTTGTGTTCCACATGCAAATCACTCTCCTGAGTGCCCAAAAGGAAAACCAAATAGATTTGGTCTCCAAATAAAGGATTTCAAGTGCTATCCTTCAGCACAGTGAAAAATCAAAAGGAAAAAAAAAAAGAAAACTGCTCGGTAAGTCAGATAAGAATTATCACTCCTCACATGTAACTATCAAAGTGAGAGGTAGAAAAATAATTCACCAGTAGGTTACAACCTGATTTTATTTTCCCAAATATTTTAAGGATTTTAGAGTTAAGGACAAGAGTTAGTGAAGGCTGAGGGTTTGGGGGTTTTGGTTTGCTTGTGGGGGGTTTTTTGCTTGGGTTTTGTTTGGTTGTTGTTTTTTTTTTTTTTAATAATGCTTTTATCAAAGTGCTTGAGTGATAGCCAGAAGTTTGGTGCCAGTTTGTGTAACTCCCACAGCACATTATATAAAACTTGTGAAAGAACTCGTCCATCTTTCCTAAAAGCTATCTACTCTTGCACATTTGAGCAAGTGCAAATGTAAGTATTTGCCATTGATGCTACTGTCTTGTGACCTGAGGAATACCACAGGAAGAAAGAGCAATGGTTTGCTGCTATATGGTTAATTAAAAGGCATAAAGTCATGATAGGAACACTGGGATATGTGCAAGGGCTCGTCTCAACAATAGGGCCAGAAGCAGAACTGGGAATGCTCTAAAGACAAAACCATATGGCATTTGTAGCCATGCAGTTTAACTTGCTGGTCAGCTATAAAAAAAAAAAAATTGAGGGAAACAAAACACAGACACGTGACCCTAATTTAAATGAATAAATGAAAGCAATGACTGAAAACAGAGCCTACCACTGAACCACTGAATATAAGTGATTTCCAAATTACCTTTCTCCCCAGCGCTATTTTTTCCAGATTTATGGCCTTTGCATGTGCATGTGATTTGCAGAGGAGTGAAATTCCTTGTAATTTCTTTGTTCTCCATTACCATGATGAAGCTTATAGAAGGAAATTATGCCAGTTCAAATCACTGAGCAGACTGGAAATCAACTTTCTGTAGAGGCATATCTCTTAACACTTCTATTCTCTGTTCTTGTTTGCTTATCTGTGTACAATGGGAGAAGAAGTAAAAATAAGGAACAAATCAGTCATTCCCTTTGAGACCACAAGTGATTAAATTGAAAAAAAAATGCTAAAAGTCCATGAATTTTGTTAGATATGTTTGATTTTAACATGTGATCAATGGACAGAGAATATATTCTCCTGAAGAATATAAACCCCTGTGAGAATCAGTTTCCTCACTGTAGATAAAAAGAGTTTAATGTCCCAGATGCACTGAGAAAACACTGACAAAAGGCATTATGGGATAAAACTTTTAAAACAATAGTTAAGGTACATTTAGCTTACGTTGGGCTAAAGTGTAGGAATATTTATTTTCTTCATTTCCTTCAGAATACCACAAAATATCAGAGACCTGTTGCATATATCTTCAAATGCTTCCTCAGCAACCTGTAGTTGCTTGAAATGGAGGGGATCACAAGCACATGTTATCTGACGTTCCTGTACAATCGCCAAAATTAATGACTACAATCCTCCACAGGCAGAAAGTGCTCTAAAAGAGTTACTGTCAGAATGCATCACTTTGTTTAAGTTCTCCTCATGGTATGCAGTAAGAAATATCATGAGAATACAGACAAAGTCCTGGTCATAGCAAAAATCAGTAAGAAGAAAGCGTACAATCAACAAGATAGGATGTATTAATCATCAAAAAGACTAGCTGAAAACAAGACAGATTCGTGTGGCAGAAGGCAATTACTAAATTATGCTTCAATTAATTGTTGAATATCTTGCTTACATATTTACAACCAATCCTTCCATTATCATAAATAAGCCTGTCTATCTCTAGTGACTTCAACAGGTCATCTCCAGATTTGACAAGAACCTATTCTTGGAACATGTTGCATTCCCTAAAGTAACTGTTAGCACAGAGAGACATAATTAATATATAAATAACCCAAGAACCCCTAGCTAAGGAATATAACAGTTAAAATAATACACTTAAAATCTCATGGTTGTGTATTACCAACTCTGAGTAATAAATCTGAGAGAGAAAGAAGGGTTCTCTTTGGCAACTTTTGCTGGGTTCCTCTGCCATGGGAACTTTTTCTCTAGAGTGCTGTTGGCTCACTTCAAAGTGCTCTGTTCCTACGATTACCTTTTTAACTACAACCCTTTTTGGTAGGTAATATACTACGGCAGTTTTTACTTTGTGAATATCCTTGTTTCAAACCAAAGCTGGTAGAAATTTTGACCATTTAATTAAAGGGAAAAGATTGCCATCACTGCTAGTTAGTACAGCTTTCTGCTAAGCTTTGTGCCAGCGTTACACTATCTCACAAAAATTGTATTGATCCAAATTGTTTCTGGGTAAACATACTTCAAAAGTTACAAGATCAAGTTGTTATCCTGATACAATACTGCACTTCACTTCTGTTCTCCCCTCTCTCTTCTTCCTCTGAACTCTGGCCTCTCAGCCTAGAGGCATAGAAGAATGGTTGCTTGAGGATATTTACCAAGGTGTGAAGTAACCAACTTTTTTGATAAGTTGTTTAACTGTGTGGCAGATGATACCTCATAGAATTCAAGGGAACATGGATTATGCTGCTTCTCACAGAGTTATACCCACAAGTAGATTGAACGAATTTGTTGCCTCACTTCCCTAATTTGCATAATTTTCTTGAGGTATGTTGGAGGTATACAGGACTAACCTCTGCTTATTTGTTTGATCATTTCTTTTCCGGTTTCTGATATACATAGGACTCCTATTGGGACGGCTGTTTCAGTCAAGCCTGACCTCTGTTTTCTCTGTTAGTAGCCAGTCCAGCAAACACCACTGCTAAATTCTCTGTAAAATACCCTTCATAAATGAGTTGGCATCTTACAAAGGATGAAAATCTGACCTTAAGTACCACAGTGAGGGACAAAGTGCCAAGTTCTTTCAAAAATTTCTCTCATGTACATGAAATATCAGTTCTTTTCCAGCCCACAATAGCCTAGTCATTTCTTAGTTTACCAACCCCCAAATGCTTTCATTAAGTTCCATCCCTAGTTTCTATGAATCCAGTAGCTTACTCTCACTCCTGCATTTGGTTATGAGTGCTGCTGAGATTGTTAAACTTCCCCTGGGGCAGCAACTCAAGCAACAACAGTAGCTTCTATGAAGTGTATGTGTTTCAGTGATCAAATTCACGCCCCATCCCACTCATCGCAAGGGGAGAGTTAGCAGCAACTGTCTGTGTGTAAAGAGATAGTCTACAGAACACATAGAGAAAGCAACATCTTATACAAATTATCTCAAACATGCTGCTGGACAATGTGCTGAATATACAGTTCCCACAGAGATGCTGACCAACAGTGATTTTTCCTGTACAGATCACCAGCTTGCAAGATCTTGTTTTATTGTATATTTAACACAACATTTCCACATGACAATGGAGGGAAGGGTAAACAGTGGCATAACAGCATTGGGCTCAGTGTTTTGGAACACACAGAAGATGTGTCTTACATGTGCTCAGCTAAGAAAACACCGGGGACTGTGTCTTTGAGAAGAAGAGAGAGGTGATTTTACCTAACCCATTCCATTTTCCTGGAACACACAACCAATCTAACCAGAAAGATAATGCAAAATTTACCCTTCCATCCACTTGAAGACTTTTCTTTTACCTTAGCCAGCTTACTTTCATGCTGCTCTGATACTTTTCTCCCTGTTAAATCATTCTGTAACAGTTCACGGTTTGCTATGAACTCCTTCTGGAAATCTAGGAACTTGTCAAACTGTTCCATTTTAGCTCCACTGGCCAAGTATGAAGGTATGAAGTGGTATTCCTCCTTGACAAGCTCTACAGCACACTGTCAGCTGTTCAGTTTGTTTTTTCAGCATCACAGTCTCTGACACATCTAACTCATCTTGACTCACTTTGATGACTCTCATGGAGTCTGTCAGTTCCATCCTCTACTTTCTTTTTAAGTGCTTTCCACTTTAGCAATTCCAGTGGAATAGAAAAATCTGCTGAGGCACTAACACCAGTCACAGTTGACTGTGGATGTCTGCTGCTAGGGCAAGAAGATTCAGCCTTTGTTGGAAGCTGGAACAAAAGTTACCTGAAAATCTTTTCATCTTCCTTGCTCTCTCATTTTCAGCTGGGAATTGATTTCTTTCCATTATGAAACTAGTTTGTTCCCTGGCAGAGTACCATCATCCCTGTTTTATTTTCTCTGAAGGCTTATAAAGTTTGCTATGATTTAAGTGTCCAGAGGTGTAAAGTTTAACATTTGTTCTGTTGACTGTTTCCACGTTATCTGAGAGATGAGCCAGACTCCTCACTTGACAGTTTCTTTCTATGGTGAAATAGATTGTTGTAGCACACACTTTAAAAGAAAAAGGAAAGACAAAATACACTTTATAAGGGGAATAGTTTAGATTAAAAAAGTCTTTCCACACAGAACAAAACTATTCCACTTTTAGAACAGAGTATTTTACAATACTCTAGCCTACAAAAATATGCTACCTTCTTCTACCTTCTCCGGTTGATAGCTGGCTGAACATGAGCCAGCAAGTGTACAGGCAGCCAGTAAGGCCAATAGCCTCCTGACCTGTACCAAGAATAGCATGGCCACCAGGACCAGGGCAGTGATCCCCCTGTACTTGGTACTGGTGAGGCTGCACCTCAAGTCCTGTGTTGAGTTTTGGGCCCCTCACTACATGAAAGATATTGAGGTGCTGGAGCATGTCCAGAGAAGGGCAACGTAGGTGGTGAAGGTCTGGAGCACAAGTCTTATGAGCAGTGGCTGAGGGGACTGGGGTTAGCCCAGAAAAGGAGGTTCGAGGGAGACCTTATTGCTTTCTATAACTACCTGAAAGGAGGTTGAAACAACAAGGGGGCTGGGCTCTTCTCCCAGGTAACAAGTGAAAGGACAAGAGAAAATGACCCTTGTGCCAGGGTGGGGTTAGGTTGGATAGTAGGAAAAATTTCTTCACTGAAAGGGTGGTCAGGTATTGGAATAGGCTGCCTGGAGAAGTGGTGAAATCACCATCCCTGAAAGCATTCAAGTGTGTGTATGCAGCACTTGGGGATATGGTTTTAGTCATGAACACAGTAGTGTTAGGTTAATGGTTTGACTTGATGATCTTAAAAGTCTTTTCCAACCTTAAGGGTTCTATGTTTCTTAACCACAGCAGTATACAAATAATCAGACAGACCTGGAGGCACCTGTGGATCCTGCAAAGCTCAGCCTCTGCCCACACTCCTTGACAACACAGTTTCTGACTTTTTCCCCCCTAAGTCTCCCCATGAATTCTTCTGCTTGTGAGTGCAGCCTCTTCTGCCCATTCATTTACACTGTGCCTAAGGTTGGTCCCTTTCTTCAGAATGTCAAATATTTCCTTTTTCCTCACTAATCACTGGAAAGGTTAGTAAGTGGCTGATATAGGTAACATCAGCAAGAGAAAAGAAATGTTAAAAAAATCTAAGAGCCTGAATGAGTAATTAGGCAGCACTCAAAGTAATGTGTGCTAATTTGGCTACTGATGAACAGCCATATAGAATATGTGAAAAACTGCCTGAAACAGTCTCAGACTCGTTAGCTGTTACTTTTAAGGATGGCTGGAGACTGGTGAACCACCAATGATGTGAACAGGATAAGTACGGAGTCTGTGTGTAAAAGAAGTAAGGAAGGGGGAAGGGTGAGCAGAAAATCTCACCAATTTCACCTTCAACTTTCCAAAAAAAAACCAAAAAACTGGATGAATAACAGATGGTTTAAGAGCATTAGTGCAGGAGAGAAGCAGTAGCTGTTGCATATTTTTACTTTACTTGGGCTTTTGGCATTTCTTGTGTAGTAGTCCCATGAGAAAGAAAAACAAAAAGAAATTGTCTAGGTGGAGATAGGTTAGCATGGGTGCAAAATAAAAACAAAGAAATCTGTAAAACTACATTTGAAGAGTAGTTATAAAGATTCCTGTCCAAATGGAAGAAGTACAAAGCAGTTTTATATGGACATTTATCCTGAATTTGTATCTAATTTTCCCAGCATTTTTGTTTACACTGTGAATGATGGAATACACAGTATGCTTGTTAAATTTGAAGATGACATGAAATGGAGAGAGGATGCGGATATTCTTAGAGACAGGATTGGAACTGAAAATGTTCTTGATAAATTGGAAAATTCTGAGAACAGCTGGATGAATTTCAATATCTGCACAAACAAGCAGCTTCCCAGTAGCCTGCAGCAGCTGGCTCAGTAGAAACTTATTTAGAAAATATCTAGGGAATATGGTGAATGACATGGTCAGAACAAATCAACAGTGCCAGTATGGTGAGTAAGACAAATGCCATTTTGGGATATACAGAACAGTGTTTCACATATAGTAAAATATGTGAAATACTCCTGTCTGTGCTCCCAACACAGAAGTGGCTTCAGCCAAATTTTATGCCTTGTTTCAGGCACTGATCTTCAGGAAACATTTAAGACAACTGGAGGATTCCAGAAGAGAGTGAGTTGAAACTATAAACGAGAAGAAAATGTATGTGGGTGTAAGAATTTAATTTAGCCTGAAGAATAGATTAAAAGAGGAAAATACAGCAGAAAACATGCTTGTAGCATGGCTGGAAAAATTTTAGGAGTTCAAATATTGAAAAAAAAAAATCTCCAGTGTTACAGACTATGTCTTGCTTTTCCCAGTTTTCCCAGTTTCCAAATGAGCAGCCTGAGGTGGCCAAGAGCAGACTCTAACTGCTCTTGCTACCCAGGAAAACCAACTGAGAAACTGAAAGACAGTCAGAAGGTCAAATCCTGACCTGTTATCCTAGAATAACCCACAGAATCCCCATGATATTAAATGGTATTTGAAGCATGTATTTTAATGGGTTGCAGTCAGAGCCTTCATATACATACCAAGGAGCAATAAATTTAACTGGGGTTGACTCGCTGGAAGAAGGACCACTGAGGAGAAGTAGGAGAAAGCGTGCAGATATGGGTAGGTTTTATATAGCACAGTACATTTTATAAACTCTTATCTAATATGGCAGAACTATATTATTCTTTCATCAATAATATGATACAAAGGAGAGGGGGAAACAAACCATTTAATTTTCCCTCCTTGACACTCCACTTTTACCTGTCTCCTTTTAAAATGTTACTTTTAATTCCAGAACTGTTTAATTGTTACTATGATTGACTTGTGCTGGAGAGATGGAAATGACAATGATAATAACGCCGTGATTTTTTTTCACAGAAACATGCATATTGTGGCTTCTTGAATAGAGGATAAGCTGCAGTCACTGCTACTGAGAAAAATCTGCCTAGCTGATCATATTTGCTCCTCTTTTCTGTCTTTAAACTGACACAAAAGCCTCTTGTGGAGATTACTGTTACTTATTCTAAAAGAATGGGATGGCCCTGAAGGAAAGTCTAGAGTTGGGTTGGGGTAAGTTCATACTCAGATGCTGTCCTTTCATTTTCTCTCTGGGTGGACAATGGTAGTCTGAAAACTTCTACACAAAAGCAGCCTTTAATTCAGGCCTCATTTAAGCTGAAGACTTAAGGTCTAAGTGGATAGGAGGTGAGATAAAGTACAAGGTAAGGCATGAAGCAAAAGAAAGCAAATTGATTAAAACAGTTTCCTTAATCAGTTCAAGAGCAGGAATTCTCTATTTTGTCTCCTTAGTGACTCTGTCAATGAGCAGATAAGAAAGATGAACACCTCAGGGCCTGTGTTTCCTGCTGGGGCATACATCTGCATCCTGTCACTATCATTTCTGATGGTAAGTCGGAGGCCATTAAAAACCCGAAAATTTTCAAAGGCACTGGGCAACATGCTGGGCAGCACAGGCTCTTCCTCTTCCAAGACTATCTCCAGTGCAAGTAAGAGTAGTCTGTTTCTACAAACACATCCCACCATGCCTCTATAATCTATAATAAAACAAAACTACTCTGAGGAGGAACTAGATCTTTGAACATGCCTGCGTAGAACAAATACAAGCACAAGAGGTCAGGAAACTAAATGCTTAACAAAAAGTAGGGAGATAGAAAAAACATTTTGGGAGACCTTGACAGGCTAGAGGAATGGACCAACAGAAATGTCTTGAAGGTCAAAAAGGAGGACTGTAACATCTACAGCTGGGGTGGTCTAACCCCACATATGCTAGGGATGAACTGAGCAGGTAACAGCTTTGCAGAACAGTACTCCAGAGATCCTTCTGGGCAAATTGCACAAGAGACAGCAGTGTGCCTTGCAATGCAGACAGCTAATCACATACTAGGCTACACAAGCAAGTTCACGGCCAGCAGACAAAGGAAAGCTCTTATTCCCCCTGCTTTGCACTAGCTGGGCCATGCCTGAAACATGATGTCCAGTTTTAGGCCCTGTAGAGCAAGCAAGATGATGACAAACTAGAGGGTCCAGCAAAGAAACAGTGAGACTGCTGAGAGGCTGAAGCACAGGCCACTCTGGGAGGAACTTTTTTGTACAGCCCAGAGATTAGACCACTAATGAGAGGCATGAAATAAACTGCAGTCTGCCACTGCAATGAGTGGTAAAGTCTCTCTCTCAGAAGTGCATGGTGAAAGGGCAAGGGGCCATAGCCACATACTGTAACATGGGAAAAATAGGTTGGATGTAAGGAAAAAGTCTTCTCAGTAAGAATAGTTCGGCACTGAACTCACATGCCCAAAAAGGTTGTGAAATTTCCATACTTGGAAGTACTGGCAACTTTGCTGGATATGGTCCTGAGTATCCGACCAAAATTTCTTAGCCCAGCGTGGAATAGGGCTGGACTGGGTAAGCTCCCTTTCAACTTAATTTTTTCTATTGTCCCAGGAAGGTCTTTGAGCTTGCAAATGAAACACTGTAAAGTCAGGAAATACCTTCATATGCTTCCCCAACTCTTCTGTCTTGTACATTCAAGCTGCGCACTGCAGGTGGCAGAGAAGCAACAGGAAAGATGAGGAAGCACCGTTATCGTAGTCACTGTGCCTGAAGAATGTGAGGCAAGGTCTGTAGGAAGAGGTAATCTCTTTTATTAGACTGACTGATATAGTTAGAAGAACTTGGATGGGATTTCAGGCACACAAATTCTTCTTCATTCTGAAAATAGAACCAGCCCACTTCAGTGCTAAACGCAAGTTGAAAATTGTAACTCTGAATTTAGCTAGCTATATTTATCATTTAGATCATCTGAGAAAAAACCCCACATAATTGGCACTTGTGGAGTGAAAGATTTGTTAATTATATTTTCATCTCTCCTCTTGATATACCTCCTGAAGGAGGCAGAGGGATATTTTTGCCTACAGAACATGAGGGTGGAAGAGAGTTTTGAAGCGTGACAAAGCAGCTCAGTACAGCTGAGCATGGCTTCCCAAGAGTCAGGGAAACTTGGGATGCACATAGCAAAACACACACATACACACACACACACACACACATGCCAGGCTCAGCGTCAGGTTTCGGATAAGGCCACTGAGCAGGAGTAGCCCTGAAACATGTGTCATGTCAATCCCTACTCACTAGCATGGCAAGGCTATGCTTGGCTTTTCCTGCTGCATGGAAATTTCATACATCGCCCCCAGGCTGGCACAAAGGCCTTGCCTGTTGCATGCCTTGCAGCTTCCCC